GGTCCCTCGTTGGCGCTCTAATAGAGGCGCCTCGCGCCTACAATGTTCTTGTTGATACTACTAGCTATGGTGGCTGGCGCATGCCCGTGTCTTGTTGTTTACTAGAAAAAAGAACCTACTAATTTTGTCGATGCCCGTCCTAATTTTGTCGAGTTCTGTCTTAACATTCTGGCGGGCTTTCTGTTGAGTCCTTCAGAGTGTTCCAACGGACTCSAAATTTTKAATCGGGAGTTYCGTCATACATTGTATTACATTTGATAGCACCAAACTGACCTCTATCAAACGTAATAAATTTTGTAACAAATGTGCTATTTTTTTGGTCTGTCTGTATGTCAAAAGTAGCACATCTATAATATCGGGAATCACCCATTGTCATAACTACGTCTTTACAATAAAGATTGAGTTTACTCACTATCTACTCGGGATTGAGCCTCACAATCTTCTGTAAGGTACGTACGTACCTACGAACCTAACGTATGCCTACTCATATCATATCAAGGGTCTTTTGGAATTCTCACAAAAGGGCCTTCATTTTTCATTTTGACCACGGTATGATGTTCTGGATTTTAATTGGTTCGTTCGTGGCGCGATCCATGCGGTCTTCGAACACTTGGCACCTCATCAATTGAATCGATGATGTAGAACTAGAGTACGTATTGTACTGTAAGTACCTCTGCGCAGGTACGGTATGTTAAGGAAGCTTGTGGATACATCACATCGTCAGCGTTGTACCGTTACTCGTACCTACTCGTACCGGTACACCAAGGTAATCGTAGCTTTTCAACTTGTTTCTCGTAGGATGCGTACCTACGTAGGACCCGAACGCTTGTCGCATATCATCAACGAATCGAAATCATCCACTGAGAACAACAGCCACCTTCCCGTCTTGACTCACCGCTTTTGATTCGAATCGAGTCGAGTCGAGTCGAGTCGAAATTGAGTACGAGTATCGTAGCTCCACAGAGGCCTCACATCACCTCTGAAGCCGTTCCTTCTCGTCATGCGAAACAGAACTATAACTGCCGTTGGTATCAAAGTAAGCAAGATCAACAGCATCAAAAAGCACATTCTCTCTTGCATTAGCAAAGAACATCGTCGCCGATTCCGATCGTTGCATCCAGTCACAACCACATTCCTCTCACCTCCGTATCCTCTTTCGGAACACAAAGACGAATACAAGCGCAATCGCAATCGCAATTGCAAGCATCCCGACCCCACAAATCGTTATCGTTACGACTCGATGAGATTCCAGCAGTTTTCCTCTTGGCTCCTCCTCGCCGCCGCCGCTTCTACCACAGCCTTTGCACCTCGCTCCGTCCTTTCTACCTCCGCCGCAAAAGTCAACAGCACTACGTGCAGCAGCAACAACACTAGCAACGGCATCAACAGTAACCAAAGCTGCACCCCTGTCACCGCACTCAACATGAGCACCGACACAGCCGTCGCCGAAGCTTCCAAGCCGGTCGAAATCTTCCGCAAGGACTACAAGCCCCTTGACATTGTTGTGGAAAAGATCAACATGGATTTCGACATTCGCGACGGAAAGACCATCGTCAAGTCCGAGCTGTTCCTAGCTAAGAACCCCAAGCTCGAGTGGGACCCCGACACTACCCACGACCTGGTTCTCGACGGGGACGAAACGTCCGTAACTTTGCTCGAGGTGACCCTGGATGGCCGAACGCTCAGAGAGGGCGAGGACTACACGCTGGCTCCCGGATCCATGACCCTGATCAACCCGCCTCCAGGATCCGTCCTCAAAACGACCGTCTCGATCGTTCCGGAAGACAACACACAGCTCTCGGGATTGTACCAGTCTGGACCCATGTACTGCACCCAGTGCGAGGCGATGGGCTTTCGCCGAATCACCTACTACCCCGACAGGCCAGACAACATGGCGGTATTCGAGCGCATCCGTCTGGAGGCAGACAAGGAATCCTACCCCGTGCTTCTAGCCAACGGGAACCTCGTCGAAGAGGGTCCTGCAGAAGAGGACGACTCCCGCCACTTTGCAGTCTGGACAGATCCCTACCCGAAGCCATCCTACCTCTTCTGCTGTGTAGCCGGAAACCTCGGAAAGATCACCGATTCCTACACCACGAACCCAACGGGCCGGACCGTAGAGCTCAACATCTACTCCGATCCCAAGGACGCCCACAAGCTCTCGTACGCCATGGAGTCTCTGAAGAACTCTATGAAGTGGGACGAGGATAAGTACGGCCTCGAGTACGACCTCGACCTCTATAACATCGTCGCTGTCGATTCCTTCAACATGGGAGCGATGGAGAACAAGGGCCTCAACGTCTTCAACACCGCCTATGTGCTGGCCGATCCGTCGACCGCCACCGACACGGACTACGAGCGTGTCGAGGGTGTCATCGGGCACGAGTATTTTCACAACTGGACCGGAAACCGCGTCACATGCAGGGACTGGTTCCAGCTCACCCTCAAGGAGGGACTCACAGTTTTCCGAGACCAGGAGTTCTCCGGGGATATGAACTCGGCGGCCGTAAAGCGGATCGAGGCCGTTTCCTCCCTCCGGGCGTCCCAGTTCTCACAGGACGCCGGCCCGATGCAGCACCCGATCCGGCCCGACTCATACATCAGCATGGACAACTTCTACACGGCGACCGTTTACAACAAAGGAGCCGAGATCATCCGAATGTACCATACGCTGCTCGGGGAGGACGGTTTCCGCAAGGGCATGGACCTCTACTTCGAGCGACACGATGGGGACGCTGTTACCTGCGACGATTTCCTTTCGGCCATGTCGGACGCGAACGACGGATTCGACCTAGAGCAGTTTGCCCTGTGGTACTCAACGCCGGGGACTCCGGTGGTGAGCTACGAGCACAGCTACGACGACGCTACCAAGACCTTTTCCCTCACGCTCTCCCAGTCCACCCAGTCGAAAGATGGCCCCATGCACATCCCGATCTCGGTCGGATTGCTAGACAAGGCAACCGGGGAGGAGGTACTCGAAACGACCGTTCTCAACCTGAAGAAGGACACCCAGACCTTTGAATTCCCGAATATCGAAGGAGAGGTCTTCCCATCGATGCTCCGTAGGTTCTCGGCCCCGATCAAGCTGATTCCGGCCAACGGAGCCTCCGTTGACGAGGAGCTCCTGGCTTTTCTGGCCGCCAATGACACCGACGGCTTCAACAAGTGGGACTCTGGTCAGGCACTTAGCCGCAGCCTGGTCTTCCAGGTTATGGAAAAGGGTGCCGACGATGCCCTTGGGGAGGGCTCTGACACGTGGGCTTCCGTGAAGGAGGCCTTTGCGCGAACCATTTCTGATACCGAGTCTTCCGACCTGTCCATCCTCGCGTACGCCCTCACCCTACCTACCGAGGCGACCCTCCAGGAATTCATTCCCGATGGCGAAGACGTCGATCCACTGGCCATTCATTCGGCTCGGGGCGCCGTCAAGAAGGCCCTGGCCCGCGAGTTCGAGGGGGCCCTAAGAGAACGCTACGATGCGATCACGGCCGAAACCAAAGACGGCGCCTTTGCCGTCGACGCGGAAGCAATCGGCCGCCGCAAGCTCCGAAACGTATGTCTCGAGTACCTGTGCGGGATCCGGTCCACCCCCGAGGAGCAGGCCTCCGCCGCCGACCTCGCCTTTGCGCACTACGAGGCGGCTACCTGCATGACCGACAAGGTGTCGGCCCTGAACGCTCTTGCCAGCATGGACGGAGCCGGTGCCGAGTCCMGCGACACGATCGTCCAGCGCTTCTACGACGAGGCCGATGGGGACGCGCTGGTGCTGGACAAGTGGTTTGCAATCCAGGCCATGGCGGACCTGCCGGACATCCTGGAGCGTGTCCAGGCCCTGAAGGAGCACCCCGACTTTACGCTGAAGAACCCCAACCGTTGTCGGTCGCTCGTCGGAGGCTTTGTTGCGAACGCGGCCGGCTTCCACGCCTCCTCCGGGACCGGGTACAAGTTCGTCCGAGAAATACTGGAGGAGCTCGATCCGATCAATCCGCAGATCTCCGGTCGGTTGAGCTCGGCCCTCATCACCTGGAAGAAGTACGATTCCGAGCGCGGTGGCAAGATGAAGAGTGAGCTGAAGAAACTTTCCGAGTTGACACCCATCAGCGACGATCTCTTCGAGATCGTCCAACGGGGCCTCAAAGAAGAATAGGTTCGTCGATGCGATGCCTCGCAGCGCGATCGGCAGCAGTGCGTGCCGTGCAATGCAAGCAAAGCAGAAACTGAATTGTCTTGCAAGGAAGGGAGCGAATGTTGTCATATTTTTAAAATAAATATTTATCGCTTCAAGTTTTCTTTTTGAACCATTTGAATCTTAGGATTGTTAGGTAGCATTGTAAAGAAGTATGAGTACTGTGGGAAGACTCTTGAGTCAAAAGACCGGTCAGTCGTACAAAACCAGCGCTGTTCCAAAACAACTTTGCCATTCACACCTCAAGAGCTAGAAAAGCTTAGCATCTGAGTGATTTGGATGGTTCCGCAAACCGTATACGTCTATTCTTTTTTGTCAGAAGTATTCTATGGAGTCAGTGCTGGTCACCACTAGAAAAGCCCTATATTGTTCCGACATCTCTTCATTTTCATGTGAGTCTTCGTTTTGGGTTTGACGTACTGTAGCAATAAAAAGAAAAAAAATGGTTTGTAGGAAAAGGTGCAAACGGCTTAAATGCATTCTTCCATTTGGAAACCACAGCTTGGACCTCTTCCCCCTGACTATATAACACTCTTCAGGCAAAGTCTACTGACAGATGACAAAGCAAGTTGGCATCCTCCATGCCTTCGTACCACAGCACTTTTGCACAGCACAGCAAGAAACATGATATCAATCATATTTTTTCAAAATATCTTTCAAAAATATCCTTACTCAGCAGTTGGGAGAGGAGGCAGGGAAGCGAGAAGATACGACTTTGGCTCACGTACGTACGTACGCGAACTCGAAAGCATTACGAAGTACCTCCCGTACTTCGTACTATCTGTACGTACGTACTAGTAGCATGCTACCTGTAGAGTTCATGCGATACCGTACGGTAGCATAGTCGTGCCAAACGTTATTCCACCGCAGTCGGATGGAAGGAAAAACAAATCAAACCGCTTTTTTTTGCTTCAAGCACTCAGTTTTAGTTTTGAGTTTTGTTTCAACCAAACAGGAAGATACAAACGCAATCTTGTTCAGAAGGTCATTCACACAGACTCATCCACGCACATAACATGGCTAGATTATCTGTAATCCGACGAAACCAGACAAATGGGTGGTCGCTGTTGCCGTTTTTGTGCTGGTCTCTGTCGCTTTGGAAAATGCTCCTGCTTTCACCGGTTGTCGAGTCCTTTTCGGACGCTCTACTTCTGGGAAGACAACGAAGCGGCGGCGGCAGCAGCGGTGCCTTTTCATCGTCCGCATTGTCTTCCAGCGAGGATTGCACTACCGGTACCATGAACGTCGTCGACGAGGGTGCCATCAATAGTCACACAAACTCCAGACGAGCCGCTATCGGAAGGCTAGTGGGATCGACAGCAGTGGCCGCCTGTGCCGGGATTGGTCTTTCACCCTCACTCGCCGCTGCCGCTTCCAGTGACACGGATTCCGTCACCAAGCAGACCAATCTATCTGAAGAAGAATTGCTTGCCATTGTTGTCGAAAAAGACCTTGTTGCCAACCAGTTCTTAGTCAGCGGGAGGCTCACCCGCAGCATATACGATGAGGCCTGCGTCTTTACCGACGAGATCGACACCTACACCCTCGACAAGTGGATCACCGGGACATCCCGCTTGTTTGATGCCAATCGGTCTAGGGTGACCCTGGTGCCGGGATCTGCCACCATCAGCAAGAGCGATGGCTCGTTGTCCTTTCGCTTCTACGAGTACCTCTGCTTCAACATCCCGTTCGTGAAACCGATCACCTACCTGAGCGGAAAACTAGTCCTAGAGCGGTCTCCCTCCACCGGTCTCATCACCTCCTACAAGGAGATTTGGGACCAGGATGTGAACACGGTCGTCTCTCAGAACTCGAAACTCTTCACGAGTGGCCTCTCCAATGACTCACTCGACGCGGACCTCGAAACCTTTGGGGCAAAGATGGAATCCCTGTTCGATTAGATAATGTTTGAATAGAAGCGAGTCGCGTGGAGTCGAATCGAATCAAATCAATGCAGGGCCTTTGATCAACCCTAGCGCACCGGCATGCACATCAAACGGGGACAACAATGGTGGACGGAAGGAATCAAATGCTCATACGAAGCCAGTACTGAATGGAAGAAAAGACAAAACGAAGCAATCAACAAACCAATCATTCTTCTATCAAACGCAATTCCTCAATTTGTGCTATTTCCTAGTAACTAGTAACTAATGGTACATGAACCATCAAAAACAATCTATACAACATTCCTTTTTCAAAATAGAATACGACCGAGAAAAACATCCACAATGTGATATGATATGGTGCACCAAGTCGCTGTATTTACTGCAATGAATGCCATACTTTTTTACACCCTTGAATACATCGATCATGCATGAACCTATATTCGACAGTATGAGTATTTATTCAACACTTTCTCTTGTCCCCTCCATTGCTTCTCCCGGTGGTGTAGATGTGTTTTACGCTTCTACTGATAGTGGACACTCACTGATGCCATCATTTAGGCGGAAATGCTATGCTATGCCTGCCTCTGAGTGCTGTTCCTAGTGGCGCAATATTCAGAAATATCATCCAAATCCTGTTCAAAATCACACATTTTGGACAAACAGAGCTTTTGTATCCTGATAACCTGTAAACGACAACCACCAACAATAACCACAAAAAAAACAGGTCCATGAGACAGAAAGAAAGGGGTTTGGATACAGAAGCTCTACTAGTAATAGGCTAAAAAGCTCAAGTACTTACAGGTGTATTGACAATGGGAATAAGGTTGGTGATGCGATTGCCGATATCATCAGACAAAACAAAGAACTGAAACGGTTGTTGATTGAAAAGGAAAGGAAAAGAGTATCACAAGGGAGTTGAAGAAGGTAAAAACAGGTCATGGTTTAGTGGCAGGAACTGCACAAGGTACAGTTGTTGGTCCTTTTGAACAAACAATTGCTGACCAGAAATTTTCAAGGGTGCATTGAATCCACATTCTTTTGGGACATGAAATTTTAGATGAATGAAAAGATCAGCAAATATGTGTGTCAACAGCAGGCAATCAAGGAAGGTAGTGTTAGCAGCTGTTAAGAAATCACACGCGATAGATCAGTTAGTGTAGTATTCATCTATTGATAACACATGCAAACAGTGCAACACACTAAGACTTAGCAGATATGATGGATCATATGGTGTTGGGGCATGATAAGGGTGTTTTAGATTAGGTTGAAAAAGAAGTGTGTGTAGTAAAAGCAACTACTGCTGGAAGCTTCCTTTGCATACTCAACACACACCAGTGATAAAGTGCATCAGTGATTAGACACTAACAATGACGTCATTAAGAGGCTTCTCCAGGGTCATTTGGTACAGGAATGAATGCCCCGTGACCAACAGTACACATGATTCTAGCGTAGGATTGGTACATGTGTATGCTAAAACATACTCTATGTACTACCATGTACCACTGCAACCAGAGGTCATAATTTAGAGGGGTGTGCAACGAGCACGTTTTTCAGCATCAGGATGAAAAAAAATCTATTTCATCTGTGGTAATACTTGGTTCAAGCAACCGACCATGGGAATCAGCTCTAATTGTTGAAGCACTTCCACACAACCTTTTAGACTGTACTTGGTATCAATCGATAGCTATCTTCAATTGTCGATTTAACAAGCCCTTAACTGTTGCAAAGGATCCAGTATAACTACTTATTCAGTGGGTTACAGTAGCAACTCTTTTTTACCACGAGGATGCTTCTTTTTCATTGGCAACCAGTAATTAGCATGAGCAACGACCCAGCAGATAAGGTTGCCAAGCTCCAAGCAGACCATGGCCTAACTAGACAAACACAACAAGAAAGAGCTGAGAGGCCTCACCCTTTTAAGGGAGGGAGTAGAGGGCATCTGTTAACTGTTTCTCAACCGGTTTGTACCTGTTTGTACCCCAAAATTTTCAACTCGCAACCTAAAAAATTTATTCCATACCACGTCTGGTACAGAAAAAAAAAGTTAAGCACGTTACATCCCTTTTCAACAGAATCACCCACGAATTTAGAAAACTCCTCCCTCTATTCCTCATTTGACTCATTTGATTTGATATGAGTTGATACCAAACAGCTAGATCCACATTTTCAAAAAAAAAGGTTAGTTGACGCCGGAAGGTGGATATCCAAATCACAATAAGAACCCCATTTGTGGATAGTTTTCAAACCAAATCGTCATCATATCAGACACAAAGACAAAAGACCACAACAACGCAATCATAACTGCTGATCTAATCATCATCTGTTATCAATATTGATCACCGATGACAATCAGATGGACTACATCTGATGATCTCCCATGGCCAGATCATAGTGGTGGATGGCCAAATCGCCAAATGGGCATCAAAACCGCCAAAAGGACCCCAATTTTGGATGGTTCAACCCCGATCAAATATCAGACGACAACGCGATTTTATATGATCATCATCTGTTATCAATATTAGTCAACGATGAAAACCAGATGGTGCTGATGATCTCCCATGGTCAGATCATAGTGGTGGATGGCCAAATCGCCAAATGGGCATCAAAACCGCCAAAACCACCAAAAGGACCCCAATTTTGGACAGTTCAACTCCGATCAAATATCAGACGACAACGCAATTTTATATGATCATCATCTGTTATCAATATTGATCACCGATGACAATCAGATGGACTACATCTGATGTTCTCCCATGGTCAGATCATAGTGGTGGATGGCCAAATCGCCAAATGGGCATCACTACGAAATCAACCACAATCCGGCAAGGTTTTGGAGGAGTCGCTACAAAAAAGATTTTTGCAGGAAGACAGTGTCATTGACATCAATAGCTATGATGCTGGTAAGGACGGTGAGGAGGAGTCGGATGACGATGACGAATGCTACATCGACCCATTGATTAGGGATGAATGGAAAAACAACCACGGTGAATTGGAATGCACACAGGTCGAGGGGGTTTAAGGATTATCTGCAGTACATAAAAATGGTAGCTGAACTTTATTAAAAAAGAATGGAATCTAATGCACCTTAAATGGTGTCAAAAAAACAAATGCATGAATCTTGCTGGACCTTTCGAAACAACCAAACATTTAAAATTTAATTGAAATAATCAAAAATGTGATTTGAACACTTGTACCATACGATTCTAGCTGCACCTGTTGAGAGAACCAAACATTTCAAATTTAATTGAAAAAATCAAAAAGTGATTCAAAAACTTGTACCATGGGATTCTAATGTAAGCAAAAACATGAACTCAACCACACCAAAATAGAATTGAAATAAATTGGAAATTTACTCGACTATCTTTAGACCATGGAATTAAAAAATACAATTTGTGATCCCACTATGCAAACATGAATAAAAATAAATTGGCACCATGTGACTTGACATTTTGACAGAAGCCATCCCATGACTTTTAAAATTAATTCTCAACCCCACGACTAATCGAATATTTTTTTAAAAAAATTAATTGACAAGTGAGGTAGTAAGTCCGGTTGGGAATCGCAACCCACGTGTTATTTTCACTCACAAAATATGTTCATTCAGGGGTTGAGAATAGGTACAAACCCCGGAAATTTACAAAAAAAAGGGGGTCGAAAAACAGTTAACGGACGGGTGGTATGATGTGCATGTTTGACTGATGGGACTGGAAAGGAGGCAGGCTGGTCTTCCTCCTGCTTTTGCTAGCAAGTCTTCAGTCAGTAGATGGGCAAACAGTAGGATCAAGTGCTAAAGGATGACTGGAAATAATAGTCAGAGCAAACTAGTGTCTTGGGATCTCTTTGACATGGTTCTATTCATGTGGATCTATCCAACTGCAAGCTATGATGAAGTTGCAACTTTTGTCTACAACAGATCTGGCAACATATACTGCAGATCACAGATCAGCATCCAGTAGGAGATTTGAATGGTTTAGATATGATGCAGAAGGTCCCCTCTACGGAAGCCTATCAAGCCTTTACTCCTGAGTGTATCTGGAGGGCAGAGACCTTTTGGAATGATCCCCCTCCATGTGGAGTAGTTGGTATTCCAAGGAGAAAGTTCATTGATGTGGATGAGTTTGGGATGGATATGAAGAGGACTAATGACAGGAAGGGATGCACGCTTGCTTGCTTTAGAGTAACGACTCCTGGAGCCTACAAAAGAGACATGAAGCTGACCATCCTGCTTGCAGTGGAGCGATAGGAAGAAGCATCAGCAACAGCACCTTGATGGTCTCCAGCACGTGGGCTGGATTCAGCGAGTAGCTGCAATGGACTGGAGGAATCCACTGGAGACTGGCTAGCTGACGTGGCAACTCATCCTGGGCCTATCAAAATTGAGTTGCACTGGGCAAGCGTGGATTCCAGTCCCTTGAGCAGCTTCCTTGGAAGCTCAATCGATTTGGATGAACGCGAATTGACTAGATTGATTGAATAACAGTTGGTTGAATCAATTGCCTCCTATACTTAAGAGGAAAGGATCCAACGCGTGGTCCTTCATCCAACGCATGGTCCTTCATCTATCTATAGCAGTACTATTTGTAAACACTTTATCTTTAGTAGGAATGATATCTACCAAGAGTAGATGCAATAGGCTTGAGCAATACCCCAAGGACCAGTGAGCGGCGCCTTTGAGTCAGCCTGGGCCTACAGTTTTAGAATGTTGGTGAAGTGCATCTGGAATCTACGGCGTCTGGTATCTACTAACTTTGCTAGAGGAACTGCTCCCACTTCCACTCCCACTACTACCAAAGCTGCTCATACTATCATCACTCCTCTTCATCTTCCTTGGAGCCTCGCGTTCCTCCTCCAGTTTCTTCAAACACTTTGCTTTGTTCTGCTGAAACAGCTTGTTTGCTCTCCTTTCCTTTGCTGCTTCCCTAGCTGTTTCTGCTTTCTTGGCTGCTTCCTTCTTTGCTGCTTTCTTTGCTTTCCTTGCTGCTTTCTTTTCTTCCTTTGTTGGTATCTTTGCTACTCTGCTTGCTAAGCGCTTTGGTTTCTTCTTT